TATACATACACACGTACGTATCTGAAAAAATTAGTATGTCAATGGGTTAAAAGCTCTGAACAGGCTAATGAGTGAAACAAAAAGGAATAAATAAAACTGAAACTCCACTGGCGAACCAACTTTCCAATTGAATTTTCATTTAAAAAGAAAAATACTCGTTTCAATCTTAATTTCCAGCCGATGCTAAAGTTCAACGCGTTGAATTTCCATCGGCGAGCCGAAAAATGTTGAAAACATTTCACACATCTTCTTCACTATAAATCTATATAACACGCGAAAGCTCGATGGCAGTCCATATTTATATAGTCAAAGAGGTTGACAGATCGACGTTCAGTCGCGCCTCGTTCGCCTTGTGCCAATGAATATTTCAGTCACTTCTGGCTTCAGCTGTCAGTCCACGGGACAGGATGTGCGAGAAAGAGAGGAAAGGGTGGAAGCATCAAGGGGGGAGGGAGGGGGTGATTCAGTCGCTTCTATGTATAGAGACGTATGGCCCGACGAACTTTCGACCTGAAATGACCCGGGATGCAGACGCCTCCGAGAGTTTCCACCTTCCACGGTGGTGGAACCTCCCCCTTTAGCGTGCAACCACATCTAATGATCGGTTTTAATCCAGGATACCCAGACGATTGTCTATGAATAACAGGAAATTACATATTTACCTGCGTGCGTCCCAGATCAACGAGCGGCCTCATGTGTGAACTTCGAGTGAACGATACCCTTAATTTAATAACTGGAGCCTGCGGACTTGAACAGAACGATCGCCGTTTCGATCTTCCTCGTTTTTTTTTTTCCTCGAAATTTTACGATCAGCTTAGAGACCAGGTTAATGAGCGTTCAAAACGCGTGCGAATTACGAAATTATGGATTACTTACGGATAGCACGCGATGCTCGAATTATTAGCGATGTTCGTATGCCAGGATAAATGTAATCAGATCCCTCTTACACAATAGAACGTATTACACGTTGCAATTAGACATCCTTGAAGGCAGATTTATGCGAAAAATTCTTCCATGTTTTACTTTCCGACTTTTGCAAATAAAATTCCGAAACTTTCCTGAAATATTAATATCGTGTTAGTAATTAATTTAACAATTAAATTGAGCACTCGTAATTATATTAGGAAAGAAGTATATTAATCTAATATAATGACATGCATATGTATAATATTGTTATATTATACTTTGAACGATAATCTCTTCCGACGTAATTAAGTAATTAATTGTGGCTCGAAATTAGTGGCCGTTATCATTTGCGTGAATAAAATGTATATGTGTGTGTGTTAATGTAATTAAATTTAAACACGAATTAAGTGAGAACTAACCTAATATGCGACATCATTAAAACCGTCTGATTTCCAATTACGAATTTACAAAATTCGTTAAAACGATAAATTAAATAAATTTACATTATCATTTAAATTTAATACATTTTGTGTTTTGAGGTTACATTGCTGTTTATGTCGAAAGTTCTGGATCAACTTTTGTCAGAATTTGACGTCGTACGAAGTGCAGAAACTGATTTCGCAGGACATTCATACAACGAATTAAATTGAGGATAACTGTGAATGTCAACTCACGTCGACCGTTTTTCGTGAATATTCATTTGGATCATGGGTGGATCGTTGAACCCAATAACATTTATAAAATGATTTCCTATAATACGATTTCCAAAGAGAATATACCATTTTGTCATACTCAGACATTTGATTAAATTAAATAATTTAAATTTACTTTATTTCGATAACTTTCTTTTGCATTTAATTCTTTTTAAAAATTAGGTTAATAAAGTTCGTACTTGAATTTGTCTTAACGTAGCATTTAAAATTTTCTTACTTTATCGATGAGAAAACATTTCTCGTTATTTTAACTTTAATTATTTTTTAATAATTCTTCAACCTATCTTTTTTAGGTTTAATTTAAATTATTTATTATTTTGTGTTACTAAATAAAAATGAAATATTTAAATTTCTCTTATCTGATAAAAAAGTTTTAAATTCCTCTTATTGACAAAAAAATTTTTATAAAAATTTATATTTTTGAAATTCTATTTGAAACAATAGTTACGAAATATGTATTACAATAGGCAACAAAAATAAATATAAAGCCCAACTATAATATTCATCGTAGTTATTTTAATAACTAAAAAAAATGTTGACACGTTTTAACTTTAATTAAAAGAAAGTCATTAAATGAATTAAAACACGAGAAACTGTTATATCAGTGGACGTTCTTTCAACAGTTCGATAAAATGCACATATTTCGCACACACAGTCACACTTTCTATACAAATTTACAGCAGTTATAATCTTTGAAAATGTTCGTTTCACAATATACATATACTGGTTATCATTCCGTGTAACACGTTTGATAACCATTTGTTGTTACATTTCGCAAAAGTTAGAAATTTTGTAAACTGTTCAACAAAATTGACATCTTCTATCAGGAGTGCATGAGCATCGAAGAGGTATTCTTTATTTTGCACAAAAACGGACTTCGTAACGGCGCGATTTTTGCTACCTTTCACTTGCGAGTTAAAATCGCGAAGTAGATTTTCACGTTCTCGAAATTTTTTAACGTTCTAATAGTTTCAAATAATTGTAAAGAACAATACTATGTTCTATTTTATATTTATATTTTAAGTGAAATAAAAATATAAATAATGAAAAATTACATGAAAAATAAATGGAATATAATAATCACCTAATATTGTATTGTTGTATAATTACTACTAAAAATTTATAATTAGAGCAGTTTATCTGAATGAAACACGTGGCACTAGTTTGATATTACTCACACTCACGTGTATAATCACGTGTTTATGGAGCACAACGTAATTTACATGTAATGTATAATATTTAAAATGAATGAGAATAACGAATCGAATTTACAAAAACTTTTCGCAGAATCATTAATAAACGATAATGTTTTTATGATAACAACGACAGTAGACACAGGTAATTAAATGTTTCCTAATATTAATTAAAAACAAAAACACGTGGTTGCTTAGAGTAACCTATAAAATGTCTAATTTTAGGTTTCGAGTGGCAAGCAGTGGATGAATGTAAAGAGAAATTAGATAAAAATGTTAAAATTATTAAAGAACGCGGGAAGATTTATCTTAATGTCTTCTGGAATCAATTTGCACAAGTAAAATTATTTTTATTTTAAATGGTATTTTTAATAGATATATTTGTTTCTGAATATGATTATTATATTATTATATATTATATTAATATTAACATTAATATTAACATTAACATTATTATAGTCTAATATACATTAAATTGCATGCAATAAATTAATAATATTTTTCTTTATTATTTCAGATACAAGAGATGAGATCAATAGACAATATATTTATTGTCGCAGATGTTAGAAAATTTGAATTCTCAGGAATTAGTAAAGAAGCTGATTTACAATTATTTAAAGATTCTGTACGTAGTGATATGAAATTAGAAAAGGCTTTAAATGCTTGGAAAAATATTACTGGTTTTCAAGGGAAAATATATCCAACTATTGATGAATATAATAGAGCAGAAAAAGACTGTAAGCTTTGTAACACAATTGTTACACCAATTAGAGGCAAAAAAAGAGGGCAGGATCCATCTGACACTGAGAAAGATGAAATATTAAGGTACAGAGTAACATGTGAAAGGACTGGCAAACATACATTTGAATCAGCAGAGGTTGCCAGAGCTATTGGAGGAGAATTGCAAGATAAATATCTGTGGCTTGTAGATCTATCTACGTATTATTTAGAAGTAGTTTGCAAAGTAATTAGCAGTAAGTGAAATGTAAATTTATTTGCGGTTATTTTGCTGTAAAAAGTAATATGTATTATACCATGAATAGATGAACTAGTAACACAGTTACGTGTTACACATGAATCTAAGCATCATAGGAATATCGTAAGTTTTGGACCAACTACTCTTAGAGCAACTGTATGTTATAATTTGCTAAGATTAGCTCATCCTAATTTGGGAGACATAATAATTGATCCAATGTGTGGTAGTGGTTCCATTCCAATTGAGGTAACATTTATATTTTATTATAAACATATGAAAAGATACGATAAAAGGTATTAATATTAAAAATTTTACAGGCAGCTTTAGTATATTCTCAATCTTATATTATTGGAGGAGACAATCATCCAAAAGCTGTATTTAGAACAAAATCTAACATTGAGGCATCTTCTTCTAAATGTAAAATTGACTTATTACATTGGAATGTATCACAACTACCATTTAAAGATTCTTTTGTTGACATTATTGTTACTGATATGGTAATATTGTATTCATACATATTCTTATTATGGCCCTATTTATTTACATTATTAAATAATTCTTATAGCCATTTGGAAAAAGAAGTGGACGAATAACAGATAACAGAACACTTTATAAAGAAATTTTGATAGAATTAGGACGAATAATGAAACCCTTAACAGGACGGAGTGTTTTGCTCACTTATGACAGACGCAGCTTTAGCACGGTATGCAATTAAAATTTTGAAATTGGATTTATGTAGAATTATGATCGATATTTTTTTCTTTTCACAGGCTTTACAAGTAGCTAGAGATTTATTCTGTGTAACAAAAACTTTAGGTGTAAACATAGGTGGTCTTCAAGCTGTAGTTTATGTGTTAAAACGGACAAATTTATCCTATGAACAATTTAAACCGAAATTTGTTAAACACATATATAAAAAGAAATAAATTTAAGAAGAAAGAAGTAAATTTAAATACCTTTATATTACAAAGTTTATATTTTGTAAGAGTTTAATAAAAAGAAGTTTTTATATTTCTTATAAAAAAGCTTTTTATTATTTATTTAAAGTAATTAAACCTTTGTATTAAATAATAAACTTTATAAGAAGAACTTTCTTCTACTAGTTTCCATATCGTGTCTTTTTCCTTGTATCAGCCATTCATATTCCCCATATTTACTGTCAAATGTTCCATGTTGTAATGATTTCAATTTTAAGGTAAATCTTGGTCCTAACTCTCTCAATCTGGGTTTACCTCTTTTCATGTCAAATTGATACCTGCAATGTTATTTACATTAGTTATTTATATTATATTATCCACTATAGCAATTATACCTATGATGTCTGAAGAATATATAATCTCTTTGATTATGGAATGTTACTACTCTCCTGCCTTTAAATTCAGGTTCATAATGAAACAGTGCTCCTAACATTCTACCAATTGTACAACCCAAGCGAGTAGTGAAATTGTTTAAAATAACTTCTGGTCTATGGTTAGAAATTTCTTTATGATTACGTTTTAAATCTGTTGTTAACTTAACATTGCTAAGTTTAAAGTGTGCTGTTGGTCCATCAGGTAAATGAATAATTAACATACCGTCTAAGAAGGTTTATAAGGAAAACATTAAATAAAAATAATAATATGTTTTCTTTAAATAATTCAATTGTTACAAGGATACTTGGTTTGCACTGATCTTCATTAACAATTACAATGTCAGTGAAATTTTTTGCAATAGCACTTTTTACCATTTTCTTTACTCCAGAACGATTTCTATATAAAGAGATAGAATTTGGTATTATTCTCGTTAATTCTCTTCCAAAAATTCTATTCTTTCTTGTTGGATTGTCACTAAAAGTAATCAAAACTTTAGGTTCATAAGCATGTCTATAGTAAGCAGCAAATTCATCATGTTCAAAATCAACTTTAAGTTCTGCATTCTCTTCATCATCGAGATCACCAGTGACAGTAGTTTCATCTTTTTCTCTTAAGCTTTCAATAGTATGTGGAACTTGTTTTGGGCCACCTTCTTGAATTCTTTTCTTCTTAGCTTCTTTTTTTGCTTTTGCTTTTTCTTTCATTAACTTCTGACATTTCTGATAACGAACTGCTTTACACTTTATGTGATTAAAATTGCTGTCAGAAGGCAAAATAACCTCTGATGTTTTGTGTTCTGAAGTACTTGGTTCTTCTTCATTTTTCTTTTTCTGAACTTGACTTAAAGGATTTATTCGTAAATTTTTGAGTTTCATTTCGATGAATTGTTTAGTATAATTAATATACAAAATTAATATTCTGAATCACGTGTACCCAAGTACTATACACATGACTTTTCGATAGTCAGGTTATGATAGGTTAGTCTAGTACAGTTCATTGCCGCCAACTTTCAAATATCACATGAAAGTTTCAAGGATATACACTATTATTTTTATTTTACATTAAAAAATTAAAATATATATTTATATATATTAAACATATAAATGCCTGTACATACACGTTGTTTTGACATAAAATATATTTTTGATAATTTTTATAGATATTTTAATTTATGTACACTTAAATGTAATATTGGAATAGAATTTTTTACACATAAAGCTTATTTTTAGTTAAAATTTAACTGTACAGCTTATTGAAATAACTTTAAGATGTCATCTTTTATACACAAATATCAGATATTATACTTGGATAATTTTATATGTATAATAAAACACTGTAGGAATAAACCCTCTTTTCAAATATTTTGGTGTTAAAATGTTTTGGTTAGAAAAATTTTAAAGTTACCCATAATACAAAAAAGACAAATATAGAAAACAACACCAAATATAAGATGTAATAAGCATGACTTCCTTTGGATAAACGTAATACACGTGCAACTGAACTTGTTAATAAACCACTTGTTCTTTCGAAATCTTCATCCTAATAACAAAAAAATTCATTTACATATTTTTTATCTTCAATTTATATCCTAAAGAGATCTCGATTAATACTGATGAGTTATTCACCATTCCACGGAGCATTTTGTCCTGATATTGTACTTCATTTCCAATGTCAATCGACAATGACTTTAGGGCATGTATTTTGTCTTTTAAATGGTCTGTCATTCTTTCATTCTCGTCTTCCAAACCTCCATGGCTGGATGTAGTTGGTAATGGTTCATAGGCATAATCTATCAAAAAATATCAAATCATATTATAGTAATTAAATATTATATTAAACTTTTGACATTGGTTAACTAACTTGTATGAGTCCTTCGCATTTTATTCTCAATTTTGATGGTTAATCAAGATACTTCTGCAGCAAAGCTTATAGTAGATCTAAATAACAATATAAAATATTAGTACAAAGTAACAAAATATAAATTAAATTAAACAAGTTGCAACTAATTGCAACAGTTCTAATTTTAATTATATATATTTTTATAACTAAGTATATATAATGATAAACAAAGAAAAGTATATATAAATATTTATTGTTTGTTTTAATTTTTTACTATTTTTAAATGACTTGATAAAATATGACATGAATTTCGTAAATAAGAATCTATATTTTTAATTCACTTAAAGTTTGAATGAGAAAGTAACATGTAGTATGGATAAATTTCTTTTTAGTCAATATTGTATATCCATAAAATTAATGAAAATATTTTAGCTATTTTCATATATAGCATTAAAAATATGTCATTAAAAATATAATTATAAACAATGCAAAAAGAACTGTCAATGAAGCAATCATACCATGCGACTCCGACACACGTTATGTTACGATATGTGATATATGTCAACGTCACATTATGATGTGTATTCAGGATTACCAACTTTACAATTGGAACGATCACTTCGAAGGATAATTTTGTTAAATATAATGGAAATTATTTTGAGAAATAATTTATATAGCTGTACTTCATTACGTACTATTAGATTAAATAAATTAAATTCATTCAATTGGTGAAATTTAAATCTAGTTAAAAGAACTTAAAATTGAAATCTGTTTATTAAACTGACGTTTAAAAAATAAAATTATGTACCCTTTGCTAAATCAATTATTTAACAGATGAGAAGAATTAAAAAGTGGAGTTTTTTATATTTTGTTCCAAGTTAGACAATGTTACAGAATGACATACGAAATGCGCGCGCAATGATTACAGCGCTAATTCAATGATATGTAATACACTTGTGCGATAGTGAATTTTAATCGATATTTTTTGCGATCGATCTATAGTATTGTAATGTAACGTACAATTGTTAGTTTTTGGCGGAAAGTGCAGAAAGAACGAGTTAGAGCGATAAATTGTCAGGTAAAGACTGAATTAGTAGTTTTTAGATTTATGTTCGCATTATTGTACGTGTCTATGATTTAGTACACTAAATATTTAATTTATTTAATATAAATTTTCTTTTTTTCTTTTATGAGAGGAAAAGAAAATTTATATTTTTGGTTGTATTTTGGTTACCACATAGCTCGTATTACCCATGAGCTTTCAAAATATTTCATCTTGATTATTGTCTCATTTTTATATAATTTACTCCTTTTATACTTTTATTTGAATATTTTAATGTTCTTTTATACAGATTATTGGTTGGTTGAGAAGAAAATTTCGAAACATGAGGAGAAAATCATGAAATTTAAAAACGCGCTACGGTGAATAATGATGAATTTAATAGTTTTTCATATAGTAATATCTGATTTATTTTAATGAAAGCTGACGTATTTATACGTTTATATTCTCTAACTTTTCAAAATAATTTATATTATTTTTGGAACAATTTTATATCGTTTTCGGTACAGGTTTGAACACATCCTGCGCATCGTTTCTTCTGCGCAGCTTCGTTTAACTGACTAAAATAGACCGCCATATTAGAATCTTTATATATTATTCCAATTACTTTGATTACTTGTATTACGCTTTCAATCATTATTAATTAAAATTTTACGTTAGAATCTTGATTCTTATAATAATTGAAGTACATTAGAATTTTAATTTTCTTTATTATTAGTCTTTTTTAAATTAAATTGTAATAATTTGTATTTTATTAAAGGTTTTTTTTTACCTCTTCCTTTTCTTCTTTGCCTGTGAGAAGGACATAATGGAACAGGAAGCAAAAAATGTGAGTAACTTTATATTTTACTTTATACTTTATTCAATTCTCTTCATTGTATTATTTGTTATATTTTTTTTTATCTGATTTGCTAAATTCAAATTTTCTTGGAACTAATAAGAAATATTTAAATAATTATAATATTATAGTAAATATTAATCATGGTGATGATGGAACATTAAACTTTTTGAGATCATACATTTTCTTTTTATTATCATTAGTATATTTATAAAGGTTAAGGATTTCATATAAGTTTATGACATAATGTGAAAACATTGATTCGTAATGTATTGTTTATATTAATTTTTGGTAAATTTTACATCATACAATTATCTTATGTTGTTTCTTCTCAAGTTTATTATCAATTACATGTTAAATATAAAGGCACAAACAATGAAAAGTAGTTATCTACTCTCTATTTTACGAGTCTATTACTTGATTCAGTACTATCTTTGATACATAATCGTTACTTAACTTTAATAGAAATTCTTAACGGTAGGAATACTCGTTATAGCGTTAACCTAAATCTTTGATGTTGAACTTAAATACGTTCATATTATTTCTAAATATTCACAACCCTATGTACGGAAACATTCAACGATTTAAGATTCTTCTTAGACATCCAATTTCTAACACGAAGGTAACACGAAGATAAACGAGGAATGAAATAAAATTACATTTTTGTATTTTCTTCTATACGATATAATATATATATATATATATATATATTTACTGTACCCTGAAATAATGTCAACAACTATTAAACTCATTGTCAGTAGATTTCCCTCGTATGCCATTCGATATTTTATTGTTATCCACGGATGTTATATTTATACTTTCACATCTATAACATTTAACATCGAACGATCATCAATAAGTTCTACAAATTTCTCCGTACATAAATTCAACATTAATCGCGAAAATTACAAATCTCGCGTTTGTGCACCACGTAATCATTACACATGTATTATTTCCCACTATTTGTATCAGTACACAATTATTCTACTGATAGTTTGATCCCTAGGATTTAACAGAAATTAGGCCTGACAGTCGAATATGTTATAGAGTAGGTGTAAGAAAAACTTTCTGCGACAAGAAATTCAGATTTTTTGTCGATTCGTTTTTTGGAATGTTCAATGCCACAGGATGTTGGAAGACATTACGTACTTGATTCTTTCACTGTGGCTCGTATTTATATATAAGAAATTTTTTTGTACTTTCACATATGATTTCTAAAAATTTTAAAATGAAATTTTGAAGGTAATCATTTTAATTACCGACCGTTTCATATTCTCTCGCGACGTATAAAATTTATCAACAATGAAAATGGATTCATCTTTTCATTTCAATAGCACCTAGAAAGATGTTTCAAACTTTATACAAATCCCTCCTATCTACTAACGGTGCGAAACAACGTGTTTCACATATACCCTTCCTATCAACTAACTTTACAAAACATTCTCAAACTTTTCTTGAATAATTGTATACAAAGTTGAGCAGTTAAATAGACACTTTAAATTAAATGCTTGCGCCGAAAGTGATGAATGATTGGGCAAGAACATGATTGTTTTATCCTAAAAAGTTAACACTGTAAAATATCGTAAATCGACGATAAATACTAAAACACGTTAGCAATAAATATAGGAAACACGGAACGCCGATTGTATTGTTGCTTACTTATACGATAGGATTATAATGCAAACTATTTGATAGTATGTTAAAAAAAAAAGTCTTCGGATATCGTGAATTATTTAGCAGAATATTTTGAGGTGTTCAGGGAAACTGTTGAAGAATGGATTCGTCGAGATGGAGCTGGGCTTACTGGGGCTGAAGGGGAAGGGCCAGTAGGTGTTGTTGGTTTAGAACCTCTTCTACGTCTCATCGATGAGTATGGACTTGTTCCTCTATTCACGCGCTCGTGGGCGTAAAGTAACACGCCGATATCTCGATTGCCCGCTTCTAATGCAATTTTTAGAGCGGAACTACCATCTATATCAACGATCGATGGATCACAGTCTGGATGCGCAAGTAACAATCGTACAATGTCAGTGTGTCCGTGTTCTGCGGCACACATTAAAGCTGTACTGCCATCTTCATCTTGAATGTTAACTGCTGCTCCAGCATTCAGCAGTAGTTGAGTCATGTCTTTACGACCATGAGATACTGCCAACATCAAGGCAGTTTGACCATGCTAGAAAAGATTGTAATTATTAGATTATTAATAACAGAAAAAAAAAGAGAAACAAGACCATCATCATTACTTAAGATCAAAAGACCAAAATTATTAATTAAAATGAAGAGATCAAAATCATTATGTAAGATACTCACTAATTTTGCTCTAATATTAACATCTGCAAGTTGGAATAACCTGTTAGCCACTGAAGCATGAGTGGAATTTCTGACTTCGGCTAGAGCTGCCAGCATTACAGCTGTGTATCCAGCCATATTTGCTTTGTTAATATCGCAAACTTTTGAATCAAGAAGTATAGATACAACATCAAAATTTCCATGAGATACTGCATAATGCATGGCAGTATTCCCACTTGAATCAGTCATGTTAACAATATACTCCAATAAAGAACTTGAATATTCTTCAAAACAATCTAAATAATCTTCTACTTCTAAGGGATTGGCATTCACTGTGCTTGAGACTTTGAACCATTCTTGTTGGATAATGTTGATAGCATTTTTCATTTGATGAGAAATGTTTTTGCTAGGAAATTTTTTGAGACTGTCATTCAGAACCTTCATGGCGGCTTGCATCTCTTTCGAAGGTTCAACTTTTTTCCTGGGTTTCTCTTGTATAGGTTGAAATAACGCAGACTCTGGAAGTTCATGTTTTTCTTCGTCATCTGTTTGTTTCTCTGTATTATATATTTCTGATTTGTCATCTTTTCGTTTCTCCCCTTGCAACTGTTGGATGCTATAGGAAATATAGAAAAATATAAATACCATAAAGGCTTATAAATTCTGTGAGTTTAAATTTTTCTTTTGTTCAAAAGACTAAGTGGACTAGTGGAATAAAATAATTAAAAGAAAAAAAGTATCAATTACCCTTTCTCAACGAAACAAGCAGAATTTATTTCAGTGAGTTCGGTATCGTTAACTAAACGAGTGGCGTATTGTTGTTGTTGTTGTTGTTGTTGTTGTTGTTGTTGCTGCTGCTGTTGCAGCATCGATTTATCGAGATCGGATACACGATTTACTTATTTACCATAGCTAATCCGCGATGAGCTTTAAATACACTTTTCTTAGCACTGACCTCCACGTTATTTACAATTTGACCTCTACACTCTGCTCCTCGAGAACGCTTATGACGCATAGGACGCGCAACCATGGAATCCGAGGAAACCAACAAATCTTCGACATGCGCTAACTATGCGATAGGTTGACTCTCCGCGACGTTAACTTCTTTACTATCTTTTTACCGAACTACCCTTAGTGTAAACCTTCCACGCCACAGATGGCGTACTTTGTACCTTTCAGCGTTTATATCGACGAATGTCAAACCATTGTATAAAATAATTCTTTTGAAAAAAAAGTTTTTCTCCCAAAATCTTTTTCTTCATACTTTTGTATAAATCTTTTTGTGCTTTTAAATGAAATTAATACCATTCACTTCGATCGTTTGTAATTTACTTTAAGATTTCGAACGAAACAAGGTAATTTATTATTACGTTTCATTGAGAAGAGCAATTAACTGCCGTGAAGAAAGATGAGAGAAAAATGATAAAGATGTTATGGTCAAACGAATTACTAACCGATTGCTGTTGTCATATTGTTCCTTGTTATCGGAATCGTATCGAATCACACCGGCAGCTGGTATCTTCGTGTAGGTATCCTGCCGCTTGATTTGCCTCCTATAATCTATAGCATTGTTCAACGGTATGTGAGACGGTCTCGGTATCCTCGAGACGAGATTCGTGTTTTGATGATTCATGTTGTTCTCCGCGTTGTTGACGATCTGCTTGGCCAAATTCTTGATGGTCTCCTTGCAGTTATCGCAATAGTTGGCAGCGCACGAGATAGAAATGTGCGGCTTGACCGACTCGCCGACCGAGACGTCGGCGAATTTCTTTTTTATCGGCGAGGTGCCAAACTCACGTTTCCTAGGCGCAAGGCCGGAAGTGTCGGTACTCTTCACCGTGGTCCTCACCAAATCGTCCACCATCACGCTGACCGATTTCGTAGTTTTCCTCTTCGGCTTGTTGTCGCCGTAATTAAACGAGTGACTTCTCGAGTTCATCGAAAGCAAAGATAACGATTGCGTTAGAAGCGGGTCGGGACCAACGCCGATGGTCCTCGTCCCCGGGCCAGTTCTCACCTCGATCCCAATTTCGGAGACCCTCGGTTTCACCATCACCCCCACGTTCGTCTTCAGTTTTAACGGCACCGCCACCTGAGCGGAATGATCCCTCTTCTCGATCTTTTTCCTAGCCAGATCTAGGTTACATTGGCAACCTCTGGAAATGGTGTCTTTCATCAACGTGCTCTTATAAATCCTGAGAGCGTCGTCCACGATGATCGCGACATCCTCTTTCGTTAAGACGTCTTTCATGTTTAACCCTGTTGCTGTACCGCACGATCTTTTCGTCACCTCTTTCTTCACTTCCGGCGCTATATCTTCGATCATAAATCGGCTGTGTACCAGGTATCTCACTATCTTTCGCGTGTTCACTCCAACGTCGCGAAATTTCCTCGTATCTCGGACCAGTTTCGGACTCGTCGGTGGTATCGATTCCATCTGAAGCGGACTTCTTTTCAAACGATTTCTCATCTTCATTTCCGGCGTCGCGTTCTCGTACATCAGCTGGTTACGAGTTACGGTCGACCTCCAACTGTCGCGAGAATCGCTCGAGTACAGTTTATCGAGGCTCAGTGACGTTCGATCGTCGAACAATGTGATCTGGTCTTTAATTTCAGGTACGATTTCTTCGATCTGCAATCGACTCCGTTGCAGGGATCGTTTGATCGGCGTGCTCGTTATCATGCCGATATCTCGGGTTCGAACCTGATCGTGTGACAATACAACGTATTACTACGTCTATGTACATTGCTGGCTATGAGTATCAGGGTACTTGGTATTGCTTGTTTTTATTTTTCAGATATTTTATGAATTTCAGTTCACTGTGAACTTGAAATCAAAGAAATTTTTAATCTCCTGACCTTTGACAGTCGGACTTATTTTTCTTTGTACGATCACAGTAATTTCAGTCTCGTTTTAAATCTCTCTCAATCGAAAAATATTCGACAAGAACGGCATTTCTGTGAATAACTTTTCTTGAGAATCAAGTGTCGAGTTTTGATTTCCTTTTCCTCGCAAATCCGTATAGTGTAAAATATTAAATAAATTAGCCAATAAATGTAATTAAATGTCCTAATACCCATAGCCAGACAAATCTTCATTTGATTTGATTAACGTCGTAATATACGGTCCTACGCAGCGAGAAAAATATTTTTTCGCGGAGACTGACTGACAGAAGTTAATTACCCGGCTCGCAGTTACTTCTTCTTTTTAACAAAATCCTCGATACAAAGTTTCCTTCGATTTATATAAGCGAATTA